ATTCTGTATAGCAACTACCATTCCATATAGCAAATAATACTTACATATTGTAAACCACTGAGAGAAAGCACTATGGGGCGGTATAGATAGAAGACTAAATGCTATTGCTATTGCTAAATCAAGATTTGTTATTCCTCCCAGTTCCCCATATCCACAAAGCATACCACTGTCAGGTATAAAGAATCAGGATCATTCGTAAGGTTGCAGCATAGATGATTTATTCAAGCCTATACACTAGAATCTGGTTAACTAAAGTTCAACAGCAAAATGGCGCCAGATAAAGGCAACAGAATTCAGAAGGAGTTGGACTTGGCCTGCTTGTAGGAATGCAATGACTCTAAACTGATGAGGTGTTTTAACTCCGTCCCCCGGTTCTGCCTTCTCTTCTCCTACATCAACAGACATGATTAAAGGAGGATAAATTGCCTTTATATAGGCTGACCTAGAGCCTGGATCTCCCAAATTGAGGCTGCATTTACTATAGCACTAGGGAGATTAATCTGAAAAATGGACAGCAATTTCATGTACTTCACACATATCTTCAAAACAGCAATCAGGAACCTAGCTGTAAGATGCAATATTGGCAGCCAAAGCAACATTGTTTTTAGTTTTTCAGCTTGTAACCAAGAGCAGATCTGACCTTTCTTTATTAGAACAGCTGTTCAATTAAACTCCAATTCTCTCAGTGATTCATCAGTTTTTAATTATGTCTTTTTCAAAGAAATGTCTGGCTGTTTGTTAATTACATTTTCTTGAAACAGTATAATAGAATCTAAAACTCTGCACAATAAAATTATAATTGTTATTATCAATAATATTTTACAGCCTGTTGGATTAGATAAAACTGGAAATTATGACTGTGATAATAATATAGAATGTTAAGATTTATATTAAAACTAATGCCCTAATTCTATTTAATATAGAGCATACTGCTACTACATTATGATAATAAGAACAAGGTGTAACTTTTGTTTAAATATTAGAATTAATATAATCAGAAGTGGTGAAATTTGAAATATAACAAGTACAGTAAACAAAGAAACATATCTAGAACTAATAGTAAACCACAAATGATATAGGAAATTTCCAGCATATGTAAGCTTGATTACTGTGATAATGATGCCAATTTGGGCTAATAGGTAATGCATCAGGCTAGAAACCAGGAGACTGAATTCTAGTCCCACTGGCTAGGTGACTTTAGGCCAGTTGTTGTTGAGACAATAGGAGGAAAAAGGAATATTGGATATTTTTGCCACCTTGAGTTACTTATGAAATAAAAAAGGAGAGGTTAAAAAATCTAATAAAGGCTAACATCAGTGGAAAACTACATTTATGTTAGAATCTATTTTTGGAAATCTATGTTCAGTTCTGAGTACTACAGTTCAAAAAGGACAGACACAAACAAATCCAGAGGATGGCTTTCAATAGGGTAAAAGGATTTCCTAGAGAGTGGGTAATTTTTCGTTCCTTTTCCCTAAAAAAAGACTTCCCTGTCATGTAACATTTCATTAAGTGGACCTTAATGAAATGACCTGGAAGTCCCTTTTAGATGTACTGCTACAGTATGTCTCTATGTGTTTCGTGACCTGGTTTGGGAAGGGGGAAATTGTAGAGTAAAGAAGATGACTTTAATGGGGATATGCAGAAACTATTGCCTAAGCAGAAGGGATGGAAGCCTTTTAAAGCACAGAGCAGTAAGATAAAATTTAGAAATGGATGTTGCCTCCCTAATTCACTGAACAATAAGGAGATACAGCACACAGTCAGAATTGCAAGATTCTGTAATGGTAGCTAATCACACCTATCTCAAAAGTAGTTTATTGAGCAATTTCCCATGGAGCTGATTTTATATTCTGGAGCTGGCAGTAGGCTTTACTTTTCTGGATCAAGCCAATCTTATGAATATCTGAAACGGATCCTTGATTTCCAGCTCTAAATTCATTAGTTGGGAGAGTCAGTCAGGGTTCTGGATTGTGCATAAGTGCACAATCGTGCCTACCATCACTGTCCTTTTGTCCCCATTTATTCGTACTTATTTCCGGTATTCTTACTCATGTTTAAACTTATACCTATTATCTTGTAAGCGATTGACAAATCAAATAAATAAATAAAATAAATAAACATTGGGAGAGTATCCATCCATCCATCCATCCATCCATCCATCCATCCATCCATCCATCTACAGGTGGTCCTTGATTAACAACCACTTATTCAGCTACTGTTCAAACTTAAGATAGTGCTGAATAAGAGGTCATTATAAGAAGACCTTGTACTTAGGATGCTTGCAGCAACCTGAAGTCATGTAATCTGTTCATGATTTGTAACCTTCCCTGTCGGCTTACCACAAATCAATGGGGAAGCTGGCAGGAAGTCCTCACTTAACTACACGGTCCTTGGTTAACTATGGCATTAAGAGGTGGCACAGTGGTTAGAGTGCAGTACTGCAGGCTACTTCTGCTGACTGCTGGCTGCCTGAAATTTGGCAGTTCAAATCTCACCAGGCCCAAGGTTGACTCATCCTTCCATCCTTCCCAGGTCAGTAAAACAAGGACCCAGATTGTTTGGGGCATTATACTGACTCTGTAAAGCGCTTAGAGAGGGCTGTAAAAGAAGGTGAAGCAGTATATAAGTCTAAATGCTATTGCTATCCATGACCAACTTCTGAAACTGTCACAATTAAGTGGCACAGTCACATGGGTTTATTTTATTTTATTTATGAGTGTATCACTTAACAAGGGACTTTCTGTTCTCAATTAATGTCATTAAATGAGGACTGCTTGTACATATATATCATGCTATGCCATAGTTTCTTTATCCATGGTTTACAGAATAAGCCACAATCACTGCTATGCTGCCTAGAGATGTTCTAGTAGGTAGGATATAGATGATCAAAATAATAATTTTAAAAATTAGTACAGTTTATATAGCCAAGCCAAAACCAGATGAACCCTACCGTAAGTTAGTTTGGCAACTATGTATAGACTGGGAGGAGAGTTTACTTTGATGTGCCTCTTAGTGTAGTGAAGATTAGTGGCAGTCAACAACTGAAAAGAACCCTGCAATATTAGCAATTTGATCCCCCAAACACTTGTATGATGGGACAAGCCCAGCAATCTGAGCATGAAGATCCATTAGCAACATTCCTTTGTTGCTGTAGATTTTTGCAGTGTGGGCAGACTGGAAAAATTGAGAAAGTTTATTTCTGCGACTTTAACAATTCTCACATTTTTGTAGCTGAGTTTGACAGGCAAATACACTCATTTGTTCTCTTGTCCCTTGGGAAAGTCTCTATTTATGATTCTGGCATGATTTTGACTACTTTTTTTTAATAAATAAGCATTGTGGGGATTTTAGGTTGGTTCAGTTTTTAACATGCTATGAAATGTCAAGCTGTCCTTGATAAGCCTAGCTGAGAGCATGTCGTCATTTTTTCCTCTTCCCTTTCATTTATGTCAGGCTTGTCATTTGATTCATCTATAATTGAGATTCCATTCCAAGCAACTTGGCAGGTTTAACATCAGTGTAACATTTGCAGATGACTCCCCAAGGTGTGGGAAGCAGGGTTAAAACATCTTTTCTTTCGATCCATAATTATAATTGACTAAAGTTTTGCCAGATTAAATGAGTTTACTGTGTGATGATTTCAGCACAATCTGAAGCTTTCTTGGATCTCAGTGTTATGGTATATTAAACAAAGTGCCAGTTTCAGAGTGAACACACCCTGTTGGAAACACACACACACACACAGAGCCATACTTTATACAGGAATTATTTCTGACAATGATCTCATCTAAAATAACATGACCAAGCAGCAGCAGCCAATCATTTGTGTGTCTCCTAAAATCCTCTAAGCTTAGTTAATGGAGTTGGCTTTTTTTTTTAACATTAAAGCTCAAAATGCATAAATAGAATTTAAGCTGTTACCATGAAAGAAATGAGATATATGAATTAGATATTTATAGCTTGAGCTGTATTGGTTATACAATTTAAATTGGGTTAGTTCAATACACACACACACACACACAGAGTGTTGGAATGATAGACTGGAATAAAAGACTAATTTGTAGGCATATTCATATAGAATAATTCTAAGCATACAGTAGATTTGATTTTCCCTCTAGACATGGAAAGCTGAACTAGTAACATCTCCCAACTTCTTGGCCTGGTGGACACATTTAGAACATTAACAAATGGGTGACCCTTGTAGAAAATGTCTATTTGTGAGATAGGCAGATACACAAGTTTAAAATCCAAATAATAGTCTATAGCCAACCATTGATCTTCTGGAGTGTGTTTGGGGCCTGGAGGTATTCTTATAAATAAGGGCATTAGCTACTATTTTGCTTTCATAAATAAGACAGGACTAAAATTCACACTCTCCCTGGTTTCTAGGCCTGTATCTTAAACCAATATATCAAATTGGTTCTATGTAGCTGCTGGGAGTCAAAAATGATTAGGTAACATCTAGTCACATGATGGCGAACCTATGGCACAGAGCCATCTCTGCGGGCACACGAGCAGTCTCCCTAGCTCAGTTCCACTGCGCATGCACAAGCACCTCCCACCAGCCAGCTGATACCAGCTGAGTGGTATCTGTCACTCATGCATGGGGGTGGGTGGGGCTCATATGGGAGATGCATGCGCATGTGCATGGGGGCAGGGGGAGCACGAGGAGTCTCACGTGCATGTGCAGGGGGGAAGGAGGGAGCATGGGGGAGCACATGCATCACATTATGGGTGCACTTTTGGCACGCAATGACAAAAAGGTTAGCCATCAGTGACCTAGTCTATCTACCTATTTATCTATGAAAGAGAACAGCAAGTGGATGCATAGGACCTTGAATGAATATAGAATATAGAAACTATGACACTATGGAACAGGCTGCCACAGACACAGAGTTTCAGTATTCTGTCCCTTATTCCTCCGTTACAAAATCTTGGTTTCTTGTTTGGATACCATGCATTTCTAAAGCAACAAGAAAAAGAAAAGAACACCTTACCTTTAAATGCTGGTGCTTTAGCTTTTCTTCTTCTACTTTAAGGCGTCTCTGAGTTATTTCTTCTTGCAGTTTCCTCTTGTCCTGAAAATGGCGAAAATGAGAGACAGTATACATAATGATGCTATATTTTTAAAGTCCATTCATCATGTTGACGTGGCCGCTTTAGCTCTGCTTAATGGCTGCAATACAACACTGAAGCAAATCCTAATCAGCCATTTTAGATGTATCAAAAATAGTAGGGCCTAGTCTTCTTAAGGTTCCTAGCGTGCTAGCTTTTCATGCAGGTGCTAGATATTTGTGCATTCATAGGCTGCAACTGCAGTGCTCGGTTTAACAGATGGGATTAAAGGTAATTACATTCCTCTTTAAGAATTATTTAGTGTGCTAAAGATTTGCAGGCAGCTGCTTAAATTCCTGGAAGTGCTGTCTTTATTGTCTCATTATCACAGGAGAACAGGGTAGATAGAAGGCCCTCAGGATCTTATTTGTTGACTTTCTTGTAACCTAAGGACTGCATAATCACGAACTAAAATCTTTTGCTCCAATGAGTCTCCAACTGTTGTTGGCTGCATTGTTATTACCCGGTAGAGCAGGGGTCTCCAACCTTGGCAACTTTAAGACTTGTGAACTTAAACTTCCAGAATTCTGGGAGTTGAAGTCCATAAGTCTTAAAAGTTGCTAAGGTTGGAGACCCCTGCTGTAGAGGATAACCAGACTGTCCTGGGAAAAGAAGGGCATGTTGAAAGTAGTAACTGTGAAGAAGAAAAAGCCCAAAGGAATGCAAGTAATGGTGATTTGCTTTGGGGTTTTTGTTTTAAAAAGAAGCTATAGTGGCCTGGTTTGCACATATAAGCAGTTTACAAACCACAATTGCTGGGCTCATATAAGTAGATGGTTTCTCAATATGAACTGCAAAGCCAGCTTTGGAACAGAGGGGCAGAAAGATATATCAGATAAGTTTAAAAGGAGGTGAAGAAAGCTTATTACAAATTTCAAATACTTGGATGGAAAGTCTCTTTTCACTCCATGCATGAGAATTTTGCAAACAGAATAGGCAAAAGCCTTTTTGTGCACTTTGCTATGTCCCTCTCATCACAACTACAGACCACCACGTTTTAAAAAAAACCTTTTTATGGCAGCAGTTTGGTCTTTGCTCTTTGCCCATGGCAAACTAACTCATTTGCTGAAAGATACTACTGTATATTCAGCAGATATTGTGGTGTAAAATAATTGCAATTGAACTATAGCAGGGATGTCAAACTTGTGATGACATGTCACATGACGTATTGCAACCCCCCCCCCCCTTGCTAAACCAGGGGAGGATGTGGACAGCGCATGACACATCTGGGCTGCGAGTTTGACAAACTGGCTGGGGAATCCTGGATGTTAAAGTCCATGCATCTTCAAGTTGCCAAGGTTGAAACATACTGATCTATAGGACCCAGCTACCCAGAAATAAACAAAATGGTTACCATAAAGTACAATTTATACCTGGGTGGTTAAAAACAAGTTCCAAAAAGCAGTGCTTAAACCAATAAAAATGAGAGAACCAAGTTTTGTGAGCATGATATTCATTTCCCCAGTTAGATGTTACAGCTGTGAAATTAGAATAGTTATGGTAGACTTGTGCTTTGACCATCTTGTGATTTGAATAAAAAGAAAGTAAAGCTGAATCCAAATAAATGTGAGGAGCTTTTAATGGTTAATAATTCTATTTGATTGGTGGATATGACCTTTCATGGGCCTAGAAAAGCAGGCGCAGGTCTGCATGTTCAGATAAGTGTGATGACAAGAGCTGCTTTCAGTTGGGTGAATTAAATTTATTAACATGCTGATTGAATTTACCAATTTTGCTAAGACTGAACTGGCTTATTGTTATCCATGGGCTGGTTATTCTCTGGCACAGATGACTGTAATGCTCATTATATGGAGATGTTTTTGAAGGAAACCGTAGTAAGCGGATTTCTGTTGGGTGTGTCTACCAGGGAGTGCATCAGCTCCATTGGCTTATAGGTCACACTCCAAGATCTAGTTTTCATTTATAAATAATTCCTTGATGCCTTGAGACCTGCTTATCTAATGAAATGCCTCTGCAATATGTGTCAAACTCCACTCAAGTGGGGAAAATCAAGGGACCAAGAAGTATGATTTCAGTTAGATATCTGTGAAACTAGTCTGGGGTAAATACAGAATCTTGGAAACTGTAAGAGAAATTTCAATTTTAGGGAGTTAATTAAGGTGGAATCTCTGAATGCTTTGAAATGCTTCTGTCCAGTTTCTCTTAAGCTAAGCTGTTATTTGCTAAAGCGGTTAATGATCTTGTCTGCTATCTCTTGATTGTTTTTAATCTTGTATTTGCTTCCTTTCCTTTCCTTCATCCTTTATGTTACGAACCAGGGACTCCATTCATTTACCTGTTTTCGGTGCATGGATAAAACAGGAGAAGGGAGGACCTCCTTAGGGGTGGCACCAACATTAAGGATATTCTTGCATGCTGGCTGCTTGTAACAGAAATGTGAAACCATACTTTCATAATCTACTCTTCCTTTTCTGATTGGCATGTGAATGTGATCATTACTATTTGCTGGCTTTTTCGGGGATATTTATGCAGTTTTATTATTGTTTACCTATCTGATTTTATGTCATGTTTTACTAACTGGATATTTTTATTGTTTAATGTTGCATTGACAAGTACTGTAAGTTGGTTTGCGAGAAGCATATGGATAGAAAAATAACATGATTAAATAATAAATAATTAAACCTAAAAAAAAAGTTCCAAATCTGTAGTATTATGTTACTGAGATATCATGAAAGTTTTACCGAAAATTAGATAAGAAATGGGGCATTGCAGTCTATCTGGTATATTCATCGTGTAGAAAAAGTATTCTTGCTGAAACTGTGCTATGGAGCAGAAATGTTGTGGTGGAAAAAATAACTTTGTCTTAAACAGAGTTAAAGGAGCAGGCCAGTGGTGGGGGTGGCTTGGTGGGTGTGCTCTGCGTGCGTGCACACACTTTGCATGCGCATGCATGCGCATGCATGCCAAACATGCACTTTGCATAGGCGCAGAGGCATTTGCACAGGCGCAGAGGCATTCTAACTCACTTACTGCAAACCTGCATGATCCCGGTCACTTCAGCAACTGCCGCGCAGCACTCTTCTGTGCCGCGCGAAGCAGCTGCGCTTCAAATTCAGAGGATAAAGGTGAGCATGGGAGACCAAGCGGGCGGGCAGGCCCAACAGCAGGTGGCGGAGAGAACCAGTTTGGTCTCTGCTGCTCATTGCTGCTACCGGCTTTGCAGAACCAGGCCTGGTTCTGGTAGCATACCACCACTGGAGCAGGCATTTTATACGGGTCGTCTTTAACTTACAACAGTTCATTTAGTGACCATTCAAAGTTGCAATGGCACTGAAACAAGTGACTTATGATCATTTTTCACACTTACGAATGTTGCAGCATCCCCATGGTCATGTGATCAAAATGAAAATGCTTGGCAACTGGTTCATGTTTATGATGGTCACGGTGTCCCAGGATAATGTGATCCCCTTTTGCGACTTTCTGACAAGCAAAGCCAATGGGGGGAGCCAGATGCATTTAACAACCATGTTACTAACTTAACAACTGCATTGATTCACTGAACAAGTGTGGCAAGAAAGATTGTAAAATGGAGCAAAACTCACTTCACAAATGTCTCGCTCAGCAACATAAATTTTGTGTTCAATTGGGGTTGCAAGTCGAGGACTACCTGTAGCATTTCGTGATTTCCAAAGAACTTTGGAAAAAGTATACTATTGATTTAGTGACATCTGCTTTCATCCCACTGAACTACCTCTCGCGGGATTCTCTGCATAGCCTGAGGAAGTCGCTGTATGTCCATGGAAATATTTTCCTTTTGAAAACTTCAGAATTCCATTACAAGGTAGTCTTTCAATTATTTTCATTTTGATAGATATTAAATACCTAGTTAGAATAAATGAATGATTACCTGGTAAAATTGCTGTTCATGGGTTGGTTCTGTCATGCATTTATTTTCTCTCTCTCTATTTTTTCCCACATGCAGAATATGTCAAGCATGCATTTCCTCTGATTTCAGGGGAAAAAGAACCTCCCACGGTCTAAATATGCTTCTCTGTTTTTTTATGAATATGTTGGCATCACACGTAAAAGCTTTTGCTGCCTAAACCACAGGATAAAATGATTCTCCCCTTGTTATTTAATATACCGAAGTCAAGAAGATTAGCCATTTAATCTTCTAACTGCTTTAAACAACCCTAAAATTCTTGATAGGCAGAGGTGGTATTCAGCAGATTCCGACCAGTTCTGGAGAACCGGTAGTGGAAATTTTGAGTAGCTTGGAGAACTGGCAAATACCACCTCTGACTGGCCCCACCCCTAACTATTCTCTGCCTCCAGAGTCCCAGCTGATTGGCTGGGTCTTCTTTTGTTGCCCTGCACAGGAGAACGGAGCTGGAAAGCAGGCTAGTGGAGTGGGGAGGGAATGGGGATTTTGCAGTATCCTTCCCCTATCACGCCCAGCAAGCCACGCCCACCAAGCCACGCCCATAGAACCGGTAGTAATTTTTTTTTGAATCCCACCACTGTTGATAGGGTATACTGGTGTCCAGGCAGGGCAGGGGAAATAAAATCAGGATGATGATTATGGTAGCATGAGCCACCTCTAAGAGAGAGGGGTGGCATATAAGTTTAATATCTCATGTATATGTGTGCCAACATTGGCACATTTAGAGCAGGAATAGTGTGCTGCAATTGGCATCTTGATTTGTTTTTTTTACACCCTCTTTGTGGATGCTTCAGGAAGGATAGCTTCCTTCATCACCCCTGAGGCAGATGTTGCTTAGAGGGCATTATAAGTGTGTCCTCCAAGACAGAAAAATGCAGAAAGGCAGCCCCTGTATCTGCCGCTTCAACTGGTTGTTTCTCTTTATTTCATGGTAGGATCTGGCCAGAGGGAAAATTCATTAAGATGATGGAATAGCTTTAATTACGAAGGGCTGGAAGGTGGGTGAGTTCTATTCCTAAATTAATGATAAATCTCTGGAGAATGTTTCTTGCTGGCAGAAGTAGAATGGAAGGAGAGCAACTGTTTTAAAAGTTTGTTTACTATATACACCTCTGCTAAGCAGTTTCAGATAGTACAGTTAATCCAGATTTCAAGAACATCTTGCTTGCCAGTCTTTGAATTACACACTTTCCTTTCTTCCTGATGATGCCACATAAACAGCCTGAGAAAATCCAATGCCTAGCTAAGTGGGTTATCAGAATGAGTTTGTACTTTATAAGTAAACTCCCCAACTGCCTTTTCTTTTCTGAGCAGAATGTTTCTATGAACTATAGTGAAAACCTTGTTTTAACAGACTAACTGGGGGAAGCAGGTCTCTGCTTTTCAGGAATGTCCATTAAATACAAAATCATATTATTATGATAGTTTATGCTTTTACACAAGGGACATAAATTACACAATTTGTTTCAACTTAGGTTGCTTCATGCAAATATTGCATTTTTGCATCCTTTGCATAAATGGTATAGATTAAGCCTTTGGGGCAATGATATCATTGTAAAAAATGACAAACTGCAGAAGAAATTTGCTTTGTTGGGTGCAGAGCCCCTTGTATCAAAGTCCCCTTAGCAGAGGTTTTATTTACATTTGCAAACAGGGAACGTTGGGCCTTCTTTTAATGGTTTTGAGTGAAGTTGGCTTGTTTTTGCTTTTGGTTATCAAATGATAATGCATTTTATTGATTTCCAGGGTACCTGAAGAATTTCTTTGTATGCTTTAGATATTTCTTTTTAGAAATGCTTTTTCAGAACATTTTGCCCTTTCCTTTGAAAACTTGGCCCAACTGGGGACTTCCTATTTGTCATAATATAAAATAAACATATATTCGGCCAATTTCATTTCTTGTAGCAATTCTTTGAACTGAATATGGATGGTGGTATACAAATAACAATTAGAATGTATACAATTATGCAATTCCTCTGGGTGCAAAATGTATTTTATGATAAAGCTGATTTTTTAGAATTATCATAGATATGGAAAATCTTTTGGCCCAGTATTTACAAAGAGGCTACGGCAGGCTTTTTAAAAAGTTTGTAAAAGTTATTAGGCTGCATACTTCATAACAATTTGCCTGATTGCTCATTTTTAACTGAGCCTTTTAAGGCATGGTAGTTAGGAGGGAGATGGGAAAAAGTCAAGTGTCTTCCATTTCTTTTTAAAGCTTTGTTGTCTTGCTATTTGGAACATTTTTTTATTAAGCACAAAGTACAAAAACATGTGTCTGTATTGGGAAACCTGGCTAGACAGGTAATAGTTACATCTGTCGATCAATGAGAGGTCTTTTATTCATGGATGGAGAAAGAATGGCTAAGCTAAGAGTGGTTAGCCGTTAAGGAAGATATGCACAGGGTAAATACTCTGAAAAAGTTAACTTATTTTTCCTGAAGGATATTATGCCCTATATGAAAATTTCTCCTTTAGATCTAACCAATAATCACTGCGTCTTTACAGAGCAAGTAGACCCAACTTGTCAAAACGTACAAGTGTGAAGGTCATTTTAGGTCAACAGACATCTGGAAGGCAACACATTTTGATGTTACATTGTCTTCCCCTCTGTATCTTCTTTTGATTAACAACACTTTTGAGAACATTTTCCCACCTGCATAACACACATGACTGACTCTTAAAGAACAAAATCAAAAACCCCTGACTATAGTATGAATTGACCTGAATTTCACCTCCGCTGTTCTTTAAACAATCACAACCTCAACTATTTTGGTGTTTTCCAGAATTAGCCACAACTACCCCTTCAGCTAGGCAGAAGACTTCCCTCCCTGGTTATTTACGTTCAAGCTACGGAACTGTTGGATTCCTTCTCTTTTCTAGTTTTCTGCTCTGGTGTCCCTCAAATGCAAAGTTTCTACAAAGAGTCACTCAGACCGAATGGCAGCATTGCAGGAGCCTGACGGAGTCTGACTCCAGCATCTGTTGCATTCGGTGCTGCGGAGCTGTTGGGTCAGATGATGCCCACCGTGAAGGCACTTGAGCTAAAGAATTATGCTGATCTTCAAACTGCTGGGGTCACACAGTCACATCAAACAACAGAAGAAAACATAAGACTTCTGAGAGCAGAAGACAACATTCTAATCCACACTGAGAATGAGGAAAGCATAGTTTTCTTAGATAGGTACGTTCTTACTTACTGTGATGGCCTGGAATCTTTCCTTCAGCAGTTCCTCTTCTTCCATCCTGGAAAGTGAAACGAACACACAGGTTGTGAAAAGCTACAAAGGGATACCAGGCTCCGGTGTGTAAGAAGGTTTCCAGTTAGATGCTTTGAAAGAGAGCTCTAATTCCACCAAGGAAGGAAGGAGCCTGACTTTAAGATGGAGTGTCTCCAAAGAGAGAGCAAAACTGCTCACATAGACACATGCAACAGGGTGTGCTGAAGAGGCAGACGTCCAGAACCCTGGCATCAGTTGACTGACAAGTTTGAACGGTGGAACATAAGCCTTTTCCTTCTGCAGCAGCTGCCAATTCTTTGTTGTAATAATATACACACTTTACATGCCACAGATTAACTCTGGAGTGCCCAAATATTTTTTCTTTTCTTTTCTTCCTATTCCCCCAACCAGAACACCCATCATACAGTACTTGCCTACGGAATTCCTTTTCAGTTTTTGCTTTAATGGGCAAAATAGAAAACTTTGGGCCTTTTTAACCCCTGCTTATCCTTTCATGCTACTTGAGAGGTCAGGAAAAAAAAGGAAGAGCAATCATTTCTGTAGCAGACAGCAAGATGTAAAACTTAATCTTAACAATGCCTCGCAGGGTCTCTAGTACAAGGTGGAAGCTTTCCCATGTTGTCAGAATAAATTCCTCAGACTGAGAAAACAAATTAATGAGAAAGTTGGACTTGAGTAGAACTCTTGTTTAATTTTACCTTTAATGGTCTCCGGACACACTCACAGATAGTCCTTGATGTACAACAGTTTTGTTTAATGACCATTCGAAGTTACAATGGCACTGAAAAAGTGACTTATGGACCATTTTTCACACTTACAACCATTTGCAGCATCCCCATGGTCATGTGATTTACATTCAGACGCTTGACAGCTGACTCACATTTATGACGATTGCAGTGTCCTGGGGTCATGTGATCAGTTTTTGCACCCTTCCATTGAGCAAAGTCAATGGGGAAGCCAGATTCAGTTAACAACCATATTACTAGTTTAACGACTGCAGTGATTTGCTGAACAACTGTGGCAAGAAAAGCCATGAAATGGGGCGAAACTGACTTAACACATTTCTCACTTAGCATCATGAGTTCTGGGCTCCATTGTGGTCAGAAGCTGAGGACTACCGGTATACCCAGAGAGAGTTAGTTCTTCTGTCCACAAAATAGGAGGAAGGACTGTCTAAATTTAATTAAATTTATATACCACCACAACAGTGGTGGGGATTCAATTTTTTTTACTACCAGTTCTGTGGGCGTGGCTTGGTGGGCGTGGTAGGGGAAGGATACTGTAAGATCTCCCTTTCCTCCCCATCCCACTAACCTGCTTCCCAGCTCCGTTCTCCTATGCAGGGCAACAAAAGAAGACCCGATCAGCTGGGACTCGGGAGGCAGAGAATAGATGGAGGCGGGGCCAGTCAGAGGGGCTATCTCATTGGCAGTTCCTATGAGAATAAAAAAGAACACCACCACCCCTACCAAAAAAAGTGCCATCTTCCTTTCTGGGAAGCCAAGCTTAAATATCCAAGAAGAGTACAAAAGAATGAAAGCCATTTGCTCAAACTACGTACCAATTTTGAGTGCTTTGGAAGAGCCATTTGACAAACGATTTCTTTTATAAAGCTGCTAAGCAGGCTGGTGACATTTGGAAAAGTGGCTGCTATTAGCCCCCCCCCCCCCCGGCCCTCCTCCCAGCTAATGGTTCTCAGTCAAAGAAGAAACTCCAACAGGGAGAAGAGGTGGGCTCATTTTGCACATGCACGACTGGAAGAGCAGGTTAAGCTGCAATCAAAGTCCAGAGCAGCAACAAGTGTGGCCACAGGGCAGATGCGGTACATAGCCAAGGTCAGACAAGTTTATAAGTTGTAGGAACCTGCATGGAGAGGTTGCGTCAATCTAATAACACTTAGGCAGGGCAGCACTTACCGTAGTTGGTGAAAGGCTACAAGAACGCCACTAATTGCTCTTTCTACTATTCAAATGGTGCACTCCAGGCATGGCCAGTGTGGATTGGGCACTATTCTTGGTGTGGATTGGGGCACTATTTTTGTGTGCCTACAAAACGGAACCCTCCAGGGCTGTTGCCACCACAGCCATCTTCTGGTAGGAAAGGCCATTTCCCATTTGGTTACTGTTCATAAGTGGCAGTCAAATACCACTTTATTGTTATCTCCCACTAAGCCTGGCAGTTTTCAAGGGTGATCATTTCCTAGAATTCCAGTCTTGTGGGGCTACAAGTTCAAGTTTGGAAAACTGGTGTGCTCATCTGACTTCTGAGATCTATAAGCCAGCCACTCCCGGTACTTAGTATTCCCAGCCAGCCCACCATAAAAGCATTATTTCTCTAACAAACTTCACAGCATCTCTATGAAGAGTAAGCAACCAATGATCTTCAGAGTGATATTGATGACTTAAGAGATTTTCATTTTCTGTAAATTACTGGGTAACTCTGCCTGAAAGGGAGGTTTTAAAAAGCGATCAAAAAATAGAAACATTGTTGGTGCAACCATATACAATGCAGAAGATATTAAGCATCTGTGCAGGAAAACCAAAGCCAGTTTTGTTTCTTCAGTACCAACATGGGGAATCCAATAAAGTTTTACTTTTGGGAATTCAATTCTCCCAGAGCATTTCCTTGTTTTAGGTTCGCTAATTGGACAGTTAACACAGAGGTTTTTTTTTGTCAAAGTTAGAATTGGATATTTAATCTCTCAGAACAAGAGTGAACTTTACGACACAGTCAAAAGTGGCTTTAAACTGAGAAACAGAGCAAGTTTTTTCCCTTCTCTCATTAAAAGGGCAAGCATTCTAAAAATAAACACACAATGCTTGTGAAGCAGGGGGTTATTTGTGAACCTTTTATTACAAATCTCTGACAAAAGTGGAATGTGAATTATTTAAGATGTTATATGATATCAGGCATTGTTTCATAGCTTCAGTGTTAGGTAAAGTTACCTTATGAATTGCTCAAGTATGCAAGGGTGTGGGAACTGGTCAGTGTCTTTTTTTTTCTATAAAGAAGTATACAGTGAATGTAGCATATGGATCTTATATTTGAGTATTTTAAATTATAAGGAGAAATGAAGAGGGAAAACCTTTTCCCATTACTGTGTCTACCTGACTTGAGAAAGTGTTGTCAGCTATGGTTGTTAAGCAAAATTTCCAAATCCTAGTTTAAAGGTTTCTCCTGAAAATGTACTTTGGAAATCAGGATGACCCAACTGAATGTTATATTGTAGCTATAACCATATGGAGCAAATATGCCATTTCATCCTTGAGCATTTCTTTCCCAGATTTCTGAGTAGATCAACTTAATGTCATATGGTCTTTTGAATTATTTCAGTCTTTTGGGTGTTCAGCTTCAAAGGTTTATTGCACTTCTGTCTTCTACAGTTGTGCTTAATTTGGTTCTTATGCAAGGACAGTTTTAATCCATTATAGATGTTACTTTGTTTATTTAATTCATTCCCTGCTTTTACTACTCTGCTGAGCATTCCAGGCAGCTAACAAAATTAAAGGAAAAGCTTATATAGAGACATATAATATACATAAAGAAAACATATAAAATAAGGGACTTATTTTAAATAATTGGAAAATAAATGTGAAAGCCATCTAATAAGTAGAATTTATAGGAAAGAAATATGCCTTTAAAGATTGTCTAAATCCTGTCACAGTGGGACAAAATGTATCCATTCAGGAAGTTCATTTCATTGCTAGGGAAACCCACTGCAGAAAACCCTTTCTTAGTGTATTAAAAAGTTGGCATCTAACAGGGGAAACATCTGCAAGAAAATATCTTCTGCAAATACTGGAAAACATTCCCATAGGTTATATAGACGTGTATGAATATTTAATTTCATTTTGTGACTCATCCTTTGGAAAAAGTGCATTACTTCTTATTTTAGATGCAACATAAGTAACAATTGACTTGCATATACTTATCAAAATTAATCTTACTGTGCATATAGTTACAATATATTAATAACTAATGAAGTTTATTTAACATTAAAAATAAGTTTGCAATTAATAAAGAAAAAATATATAAAGTACTACATCCATATCAAAACCTCTAATTGTCCAGTTGGGACTCACACCGTTTAATGAAACAGAGAAATTCTTCAGGCCATTGGTGGGGTAATAGTATCCTTTCAAACTTATAGTATCATTTCTAACATAAAAATATTTTTATCACCCTATTGTTTGCCAAATCATTGATATATACTTTAATGCAAAATAACATGACTGTCTACAAATCCCAGTATTCTTCTAGAATAAATTTAAAATTTGACAGATTTAATATAAAAAAGCTGACTCAAAAATGAAATCAATTGCAGCTTTTTTTTGTTTTTCCTCTAAGTAAGGTTTAGAGAACCAACAGTATGTTATTTCTCTGAAATGATTTTTTTTCCTCCAAAGAAAGATCATGCAATGACCTAAGTTAAAGTTATTTTTGTAATATCTTACAAAGATTTTTTCAATAACAGGCCACATTTGTCTGTTCTGTAACTTGATGCCTAAACTTGTGGCTTATTGAACAGTGTGCCCAATCGAACAGCTGACATTTTATCTTTCAAATCTTTTTAAAGCATTTGGACCGTCCTGTTTTGTCTTCCCGAAACTTTCTCTGAATACATCCAAGATAAATGTTCAATTTTCGCAACAACCACCCACAAAAGAATGTGGATTGACCTGTTAAACTTTAGCAAGAAGATTATTTGTGTCAACTTTCCCTTTGAGACTCCATTGTTGATTATATAGCAATTCAGTGTTGGCTCGCCTGCTTGATGCCCCTTTTTATCTCTGATAATTATAAACATATAGTTTATAGTTTTAAACAGTTAGAAAGATTATTATCATCTTTTCTTTCCCATTTGTCTATTTCTTGCATATTGTTTGGCACAGTGATGACACCATGCTTGAGGCTTTTGTTAAGTATCGCTGCATTAAGGGTTTTTTCCCTTCACGAGATCTTACTTTCTCTTTGGAATCTTGTAGCAAACTGCTTTGAGTATAAGATTCAACCTTTGATGGCCCATTCACAAAAAATGTGTCAGAACTAACCTTAGAACATATCATAAGATGTAGAATGGGCACCAGCATTATACTGATTGGAAGACCATTAACAAAGGACAATTAAAAAAAATCCACACCCAACAGATTGGGGTAGACATTAGGTGCTGAGGGGCCACACTTGGTGGTCAAAGGGCAAACACATAATTCAGAATGGATGAAGCTATATCTGATATATGGCTAGACTAAGATTTTCCATTTTGC